GATCATGGTGTCATTTATTTAATTAATACTACTTCTGGATAGTTCAGGAACTAATCTTAGGAAAATGGAGAGGCAAAACAATTTACAAAAACACTTTTAAAAACCAATAACCACCCCCACCAAAAAAAAAAAAAAAACCTGACAAAATCTAATATATTGAATGATTCTCGGTGATACCTAAATGATTTTAAGTATTTGTAGACCAATTATATCATCAGATTATCATGCCAGAAACAGAAAAATAATCTAGCATTGCAAAATAAACAGGCAAAATAATAATTTTGCATTAGAAGTTTGACTTTATTCTACTTTACCTCTTCTAGTAAACTTATCACTGTGCCTTACACACATAGATTAATCTAAAAATATGTGGAAAGTATAGTTATTATCTATCTACTCACTTTCTGTCTAGATGATGTACCTTGAATTAGCTGGCTCCTCCCATCTGCCATGAGACAGACGATCTATAAAGGCCAAGCACAGATACTCCAGCTCCATCTGTGACGCCCTTCCTTGATTTCTAACATTCCTCCTATTCTAGTCCAGATTTAAGCAGTTCAGGTGCTCTGGCTTTGAATGCCTTTGCAGGTCCCATCTGTGTTCTTTGGACTTAGCAGAAATTAGCTTAAGAGATAATCTAAGCCAAGGTTCATACCTGGAATGAGATTGACTCATTTCAGACTCATTTCTCTTACTGCTCCAGGTAAGATACTTTTTATTAGCTCTTACTTTAAAATTTAAGCTCTAGCTCTGGCCCAGCTGTATCACTTGAGTTTACTTATGTCTACTGAGAGGTTTTATTCAGTACTGAGAGGTGGAAATAGGCAACAGAAACTAAGAAAATGCTGCAGTCCTTCAAGGGCAGTTTCCATATGTCCTTACCTCAGGACACTTGGATTCTAAAACAGTTGCTCAAAGCCATTATTTATGCAGTATCTCAACAAATATATAGAGAGCACTTAGTATGCACCAGACTCATTGGAGACAAACAGGGATGAAATTTGACAGCTTTCTAGCAGAGTACATAATCCAGCATGGGAGTATGTAAACCTATGATGTATTGTAACTTAACTCCTATGTTTATTGAAGAAAAACAAGCAAATTTTCAGTGATCTGTTAAAGTAGTTTCATAGAAAAACATGAAGAGAGATTAGAGAGAAAATAATTCTTCATGCCTTGCTGACTATTATAAACTTTACAAAATGAACATGTATTACAACAATAATTAGAAAACAAAACAATATATTTTTTCAAATTAAAAAAAATCACTTCCATATTTCTAGGCCAGTTTATCATCAAATCTCCCAAAAAGAGTAATGATAAAGGGGTAATCACACAAATTTTCAATTATTCATGAGCTAATCACATATTTTGTAACCTTTAGGTTATGTGTCATTTCCTACTCCCTAATGCAAATTTGAATTTCTCTTTAATTCTCTTTTTCTCTTAAGATCATGATCAAGTATGTTTTCAATACAGTCATTGATTTTGTACATCTTTTCCAATAAATAAGATGGAGAGTTTTAAATTTAAACTTCTTTTTACAGATTAAGTGTTTGAAAGTGGGGCTACAAAATAAATCAAGGATCTGTCTCAACATAAAAAATATCCCTTCCATCTAAATGCATCTTCTCGTAAAGTACAGATGTATCTTCCTTCCTGAAAGTCGGGCACAGAATATCTCATTCCATTTTAATTTTTTGTAAATTCCTGAGTTTATTATTTTTTTCATTTATCTTTTAAGTGAAAGCAAATTTACTAGCAAAAAAAAAAAAAAAGAAAAAGAAAAAAAAAAAGAATGCCTGTTCCAAAGGCAGAGCAGCCTGGAGAGAGAGAGAGAGAGAGAGAGAGAGAGAGAGAGAGAGAGAGAGAGAGAATTTTGCTTTTGTAAATTTAGAAGTTTGCAGGATTTATTACAGCTTGAAATGGCTGAAGACATTTGGAGCACTTTGTATTTTGGCCTCCATTAGGCTGACGCTTTCCTTGTAACCTTTCTGTCATTGAATTAAAGTAATCAGGAAAATGTGAGAAAGGAAATAATTGAAAAAGATTGAAGCACAAATACTAATGATAGGGTCTGTTTTAAAGCAACACAGCATTCTAGCACACCTCTCCACCCTTTGACCAAGATTACTGTATTGACAGCAAAGGTACCTGTCAGCACCAATAGCTTACGAGGGCATATTGGACAATGAGCTTGTGTTTATATGAATGTTCTTCATTCTAGGACCTGCTTTGATTTGTTAAGGACTCACACTGCTGTTGGGGCCGGCACGTCTGCCAGTGGGGACTGCCGACCTGCAGGAGTCCCCGAGACCGCCAATGTAGATGTCTCATTCAACCTGAGGGAGAGAGTGCGTGGAAGTGAAAGAAGAAAGAAAAGCGGAGTCTGGAGGTCTGTGTGACTTGTAGTCAAGCAGCAGCTTTATTTTTATGGGTTACAGCTTTTATACCTTTTTTCTTGTTACATTTACCTTAGCTCAGCATTTACTTTAGCTCAGCAGAAAAAGGGGGTAAACATAAAAGGGAACAGAAACCACGTAAAAATAGTTATCGGGCTTGTGATAACAGCTCACAAAGCAGTTTAAAGGGGCTTGAGGTGATAGCTTACAAAGCAGTTTAAAGGTTAATATATGTTTTTTAAGAGTACACAGTGCAATCAAACAATGGTGTCCTCATGGTGGCTTGTTAATTATGTTTTCCATCAGGAGGTAGAGCAAAGGCTCAGCTCCTGAGAAAATATGGGCAGGGGTCCTTGCCCCTCTCAGGCATCTCAATTGCAGCAAGTCTGTTGCTTACACAGAGATTAAAGGGGATATGAAAGCAGTCAGCACAATGCCCTCGTAAACCACAGGCCTTTGCTCTGGATCTTGTTTTTGCCTCAGTGGCTCAGCCTGCGACACTTGCCTCAACTCAACAGCCCTCGAGAGCAGGGGGAGAGCAGATAGGTCCAGCAGCCAAAATAGGGCGAGTCACGCTAGCTGTCTCAAGCCTTTGGCACGAACACTGCACACTGCTCTATACGGTGTTGTGTACAGTTAAGTACAGTTGGGTGGTAGTAGGGATACAGAAAATTTTAAATGTAAAAAAAAGTGGCTGGGCACGATGGCTCATGCCTATAATCCCAGCACTTTGGGAGGCTGAGACGGGTCGATCACGAGATCAAGAGATCGAGACCACCCTGGTCAACATGGTGAAACCCCATCTCTACTAAAAATACAAAAATTAGCTGAGTATGGTGGCACATGCCTGTAGCCCCAGGTACTCTGGAGGCTGAGGCAGGAGAATTGCTTGAACCTAGAAGGCAGAGGTTGCAGTAAGCCAGGATCATACAATTGTACTCCAGCCTGGGTAACAAGAGCGAAACTCCATCTCCAAAAAAAAAAAAAAAATTAGGGAGTGAAACTTTTTATTCATTTTTTTGTTATTTATTTATAGAAGAATTCATAGCAGGTTGAGTTTCTGTTTAGGCAACATTGGGAAATGCTATTTTCATTTTATTTATTTGAAAAACATTTATAAGGCACTTAATACATGATGACTCTTACAAATGTTGACTCATTTCTCATAATTACCTTGGGCATGGCACAAAAAGGTTGAACAATCTTCAGGTGAAGCTCAGCAACTAAATGTAGGCAGCCAAGTTGTATGCTTTGTGTTCATCTAGGGGTAAGGGCTCTTATGCCTTGAACTGGGCTGTGTAGAGCTCTGCACTATAGGTAGAGACCATTCCTTTCTCCTCTCTTCTCTCTGTCCTATTTCAGGTCTCAGAGAGGTCTGAAACTGACTTGGAGAGTCACACTAAAACCTCTAAAACCTAATGATGAATCAAAATAAATTCTCTAAAATTGTAGAAAAAGTGATAGAGATATCAGGTTAAAAGACTAAAATTCATGGTCAGAAAACTGCAATGTCTGTTTCTAGAGAAAGCAGGTCCAACACTAAATACCAGAAAGTCTGATAGTAAATGGAATGTGACTTTATGTGTGATCTGGTGCTCGTATTTCATCTGAATGCGTGTCCGCTGCTTCAGTGGGAAGAGTGCTTGCACACAGGTACCAACTCCCAGTGTCATGTGCCAGGCCATGGAAAGACAGAGAACCAGAAATAATGAGGCTATGAGCCTGCTGGGCTGAGCAAGTCCCTTATGTCACAGATCAAATCTGTGACATATGGCCGTGACAGCCAGTCCCCAGCTTCAGAGTGACAGCTAATCCCATATGTCATACATCAAATCTGAACCTCTCCTACCAGGAGAAGGAGATCTCTAGGGAATTTCAGAAATCCCAGTGCTTCAGAGGGAAGATGGAAGTTATGAGGATACGAAAAAAAGAGGTCATGTCACAGCCCCTGGGCTTCCACTGAAACTAATACTGGATCCAACTTTTAACACTGATAATATGTTGCCACCAAATTGAAAACGTAAACAAGATATTCTAAGTGTGATTAGAGTATATGCAACACAAGGAAGAAGCAGAACATTCTTTTCCGGAATCTGACAACGTGGCCGCAGTGTTTTTACTGGGAACATTGATTTCAGATGTATGTGAAATACAATAAACCGAAAACTAGAGACAGATGAGACAGAGAGAGGTTAATTAGAAAAAGATTATGGTATCTAAGCAAAATCTAGCCTCCTAGGCCCACCTTAATCCCTCTTAAATCCCCCATCCCAACTCTGTTAACTAGTTATCGTTCTCTTCTGAAGAGATCGCACCTTCCTTGTGGTTCTCAGGGATCCTCCCCAGCTCTTACTCTACTCCCCATCCCGCGCACTGGGATAGCCCCATGCCCATGTCCTTCCCCGCAGGCAGTGTTTCCAGCGAGGTGGTCCCACTGAACTTCTAGGGATTTGGGGCAGAAAGCGAATATCCCAGAGTCCCAGAGCCCACGGGAGTTACTCTGGAGGGCCAGCCACAGAGGCGCACCAGTGGGTAACCAGCCACCTCCCACCACCCACCACCCGGAGGCTGGGCCAGCCCCTTTTTTCCGGACTCGGGATCGACCTGGAGCTCCGAGAATTTTCCTGGCCCAGTCAAGCATGAAAAGGGTTCGCCGATCTCGAGAAGCCAGAGAACCAGGGCTGCAGGCACCTCCCCGCCTGCTCTCCCGCTCCTGGCACAACCGTCTGACCAGCCTGCCGAGCCCCACCGCCCGCGCCGCGCCCCCGGCCGCCCCCGGCGCTCCCCGGCTCCTGCGGGCAGCGCTGCTGCTCCTGCTCCTGGTCGCCGCCGGCCAGCGTGCCGCAGGTGAGTCCCGGCATACTGGGGTCCCCGGGGTGGGACGCGGCTGGAGTGGGCGCCCAGCACCTACGACTCCCCTCACCCAGCGAATCTCTTCTTCCCTAGGAGAATCCGTGGTCAATGAACTGAGCTGCCAATGCTTGCAGATCCTGCAGAGAATTCACCGCCAAGAACACGTGAAATGTGAACAAGTCCCCAGGATCCCACTGCGCCCAAACCGAAGGCACTTAAGTCCCGCCGCACCCTCCCGCTGCCAACGCTGGGGTCTTAGACCTTCCGGCCGCCCCACCCTGTGTGGAACCCGACCTCCTGTCTCACGGGATCCCCTTCTCTCAGCAGAACCACATTCAAGAATGAGCAGAAAGCTTGTCTGAACCCCGCATCCCCCGTGGTTCAGAAAATCATCAAAAAGATGCTGCGCATCTTTTTTCCATGTACACAGACGACCAGAGCCATTGGTCAGAAATACTGGCATCTGCCCTCTAAAAATAAAATCAAGGAAACCCAGGGGTTAGCTGAAGGACTAGAAATTGTGATTATTATTTTCACAATTAAATTTGCCGTTAAGATTATTAATCTGCTCTGGTGCCAGAGGATATTTCAGTATTTCAGTGTCCTCCTTTCTCAGGTCTAAGCCCTACTGAAATAAGTGAGGGTAAATATATATTTCTTTCTTTTTTTAAATATATATATTTTATTGTGTTTTAGGTTTTGGGGTACATGTGAAGAATATGCAAGATAGTTGCACAGGTACATGCATGCATGGCAATGTGGTTTGCTGCCTTCCTCCTCATCACCTGTATTTCTAAAACATTAAGTGAATTTGGCTAATGATGCTAAAATGCCTTCTACCTATTTCAGGATAATGTTTATCTCACTCCCTAACGGGCTTCAGACCTGAAAACTGAATCTCCCTGATTTGAGGCACAGTGGAACTCTTAAGTCTTCATGGTGAAGAGTAGAGACTTTGCAGTAAGACCCTCACGAGTTGTTCGAGGCTCTATGTCTTAGTATCCTGAGTCTTAACAAACTGTGAAAACAATAAAAACTACTTCAAAAGGTTTGCTATAAACCTTATGTGAGGTCATGCATGTAGATTTTTAACCCATTTATAACCTTTGTTTCACTTTTTGAAGCAAATAATACAGTTGTAATCACAGATCCTCTATTTCTAGTTAAATAGTATCCAGAAGCCTGGGGTTTTATTTTGCTACACAGAACAACTCTCATACCGGTAATAACCACTTAGTGAGGGGCTAGAAGGAACGACCACGTTTGAAAAACCATAGAAGGTAAGGATCTAAGGCAGGAACAGGTGTCTGCATGGTCAGTTTCTTGAGTAGCTACTGACAGCTATCATTTTTTCACCACAGGGGCAACACCAACTGACCTAGAGGGAAGGAGGAAGCATATCAGCTGCAATTCCTAAAGGAGGTCTATTCTTAGAGGAATCAAAATGAAAGAGAAAAAAATTAGTTCCTGGGCACACCTGGACTTTGTTTAATGTGTTTAACTGTTTCTTATGAAGGTAGTTCTAATTATGTATGTATGTATTTTTCAAAGCCTGTATGTTAAGGTTCTTTCTGATATTGAAAGATATGGATATGTTTGTTAATTCACTGTAATGTTATTCTGAAAGTTATTTTTTGTGTTAAATCAAAGTTTAGTCCTTACTGTCATCTAACTTGAAGATGATGGATTTTACATGTTCTCTATTCGTTAAGTGGTGATGGAGAGTTCACATCATGTCAGACATTGTGATAGTGGCTGAAAATAAATAGTGGGGATCCAAGCTGATAGATCCCTGTTAAGATAAAGGCATGTATGTCCCATCTCTTGTAACTGTTTAGAAGAATGTCAGTTGTTATTTATCAAAACTTCCAACATATCTGATATTGAAGCTTTAAAAACTACAATGTCCTAATTATCCTTTGGATATTTTATGTCTTCCTTGTGAGGCATAATGCTTTATTTTGTATTAATTATGCAATGATTCTCTATGATTTGGAATAATATAGTTTATTTACTGATGTATTTTAACACAAAAAATACATGAAAATAAAACCTTTCCAAAAAAATCACACCTGAGTTTGTTTCCTACTTCTTAACCTTTTGTTTCTCTTGAATACTCAAAATGGTAGGACTCTGTTAACAGACTGTAGCTCAGGCCCACTGGACAGCTACCACTAGCCAGCACTTCCTTTGTTTCTCTCTTATTCAAGAAGGCTTATCTGATGCTTTTTCAAAGGCAGACCCCCCACCTTTAAAATATCTGTTTTACATAAAATGGTCATCTCGTTTCACTATAACCAACCTATTATTCAGTTTTACATCTTTAAAATTTTTCAAATTTTAATAGATGTTTTTAAAAGAGCTCTCATCCAAATTAAGCTGTTAATGGTTTTTAAATTATGGATTTCTTTTCTTTATGAAGCTGGCTGCTAGCTTATAGTAAAGCGGATTCTGCTTTAGAACTCAAGCAATCTGTACAATGGAAAAAAAAACAGAAAAAGTGAGTGGCTGAGTACTTCACTTGGGTAAAGTTCTAGCTGAGAAAGGTTTCATTTTCTAACCTTCATGGAGAGATAATAATTACTAAATTCAATGTTGATCCAGTCTATACAGGCATGATAGTTGTTTAAATGTTTTCTAAGCCTATAAATTTGAATTCAAATTGCCCAAGAATAGTAGGAGGCAATTTGAATTCAAATTTATAGGCTAGCCTCCACATTAGAAACAAAGGCTGTTAGAGAAAGTTCTGAGCCATCTGGGAAAGAATACCTTCTAAATCCAAAATGGAGACAAGTTGGTGGAGGAAGGGAGAGCAAGGGAAGGGGTGTGTGTGTGTGTGTGTGTGTGTGTGTGTGTGTGTGTGTTTCTGATTCAGCATGTGTTCCTGGACTCCTGAGCACTAGTTTATTCCCTGAAGCAGAGGGAGGAGGCCTAGGCTGGCAGCCTGACACCTGGGTGCAAGTGCAGGCTTGTACTAAGCAGCTGGTTGACTGTGGACAGGAAATGATTACAAATTCTATTTCCAACCCTCAAAAGTGAGCATAATAGTCTCTACATAGCCCTAATGTTATGTGCTCGGAATACGAAAGATAAAATAGAAAAACAGTTTTTAAATTGTAAAGCAATAAACAAATGCAAACCATTCTGCAAGCTCTGTAAATGCCATTACCAGCTTCCTATCTTCCACTCAGGGACATATGTTTTAGGCTCTGGAAAATAAAACTTCCTTGGATTCCTCAGTGTTCCTGTGAAAAGTCTTTTTCTTTTCTCAGATTATGAGAATTAAATCTGTAGTCATTTGTCTAGTTAGTGGCTGTATCCAAAAGAATAAAAAAATATCTCTCATCTCCCAGAAGAAATCCGGGACTTGGTCTCTAGGTTAAGCCCTAGAGTGCTGGGGAAAGTGGAGTGCCATCTTCCTAACTATTTACATGTCAAAAGAGATGAAACCACAGAACCTAAAGACATCAGTAGTACACAGAAAGTGAAGACAAGACAGCTATCAGGCTTCAGGGAAAAGGTACTCACATCCCAAAGCATTGGAGTTAGGGCTCTAGCTCATTGTGTTTCCATGAAGACCCTTTCAGGAGGGTAATGGGACAACTCCTTCCTTCTCCTTTATAAGGAGAAGAAATCATCTTTTCCTGCCCTTGCCCTGTGGAGTGTGTGGCCACAATAGATGTGGCTTTCACTGCATCGCCTTAGGGGTGAGGCCCAAGGCAAGCAGGAAGCAGGCACACTTAATGTGAGGTATTTAGTAGGAAGTCTGTCTGGGATGCAGAATCCCTTCTGTGTAAATTTTAAACTTCAAAATGTAATTAAAAACCCAAACATAGGCTTTATGAATGATGTCTGGAAAGAAGGAAGAAGATGCAGTCTGTTCATATGGTGATTAAGAACATAGACTGTAAATAATTAGATTGATCAGGAATAGAATTCAGTTGTATCACCTCTTGTGTGATCTTGAGATTAAGTTTCTTGATTAAACTTTATTTTTTCATTGTATTAAAAGGGAGACACCTTTTTGTAGTTGTTTCTAAACGTATGCATTATAATTACTTATGCAAAGAACTAAGCAGTGCCTGCAAGATGGTAGTGGCTCTGGAATTTCTGGAACAAAGAGGGAGCAGTTTGATTGAAGGTGGGGGCAGTGTATTAGTTTCCTAATGCTGCTGGAACAAATTACCACAAATTTAGTACTGAAAAACAGTATAAATTTATTATCTTGCTGTTTGGGAGGCCAGAAGACAAAAATCAGTTTCACTGAGCTAAAGTCAAAGTGTCCACAGGCTGGTTTGTTCTGGAGACCCTACGGGAGAATGTGTGTCTTTGATCTATCCAGCTTCCAAAGGCTATCCAACATTCCTTGGCTTATGGCCCCCTTCCTGCATCTCCCTGAATCTCCAGTGCAGTTTCTTCACGTCTTTCTTTCTGTCTCTTTGTTCTGTCAAGTTGCCTTCTGTCTGACTCTGACTCCTCCTGCATCTTTTCTGTGAGAACATTGTGATGATATCTGGCCCACTCAGGAAAATTGGGGATAAATTTCTCATCTCAAGATTCTTAATTTCATCATGTCTGCAAAGTCCTTTTTACAATATAAGGTGATGTATTTATTGTTCTAGAAATTAGAACAATGAAATCTTTAGGGGGACATTGTGCAACCTACCACAGGGTTTTGAAGGCCCATATTTGAAGCACATTTTATTTTGCTTAAAAAATATACATATTATAGAAAAGAAGTCTGAAATTGTGGGAGGATCCAAAATGGTGCCAGCCCTGGCTAGTGTTCAATAAACACAACTGTTGTTAATGTTTCTAAATTAAAGAAAAGCAAACTTAGGTATTTTCTCCAGACTGGAGAGCTTCAAAGCAAACAAAAAAAAATTCATTACATAACTGGAGGGAAGGCATGAATGACCAGAAGAAAAAGAGGAAGGTCTGGGTGGAAAACTTCAAGAAGGCCCCAGGATTGATGTTTATCTTTGGTTTTCTAGCCCAGTCCTATTTATATTAATGTATTATTGGAGCAAATAGTAATAGCAAAAGTGAGTACCACATTAAATTCTCTGTGAAAATTTGGAGCACAAGGCAGGCCTCCATTTGGGACATCAAGGTAGAGGGTGGCAGATAGGAATATACGAGTGAATGATCAGATGATGAGGGCAGAAAACTGATATTCTCTGCATTCAAAGATCAGTCTTAAAACAGTGTGACATAGCATGACATGTAACTTTGAGAGTCAAGCAACAATATCAACAGTACCTGAGACTTTCTGGACAAACTAGAAGAGAAAAAGAGGAATGATGGATGATCCCACTCTGGTTATGATTCCTTGTTGAGAAATACCCTGAAATTTACTGTTAGTGATTTCCAGAAACTGGTGGGATGTGGGAGATGGAGAGATGGAGCTTCTGTAATAGCAGGATTGGGCAATGTTTCTTTCCTTTGCTGGAATGTCAAAGTTATAAGATAGCAGTTCATTTGTACTAGATTCTCCATAAAGACAGAGACAAAGGCTTATGTGCTATACCTATATTAAGCCCACAAGCCCATATCTGGGGCCTTATCTTTAGCTGAATGTATGGTATCTCTGTGGAAATATGTTATCCTCTGCCTTCAGACTGGTAGTGACAGGTGACCGGGTTGTGCCTTTAACTTTCAATAGTCCAATGGGGAAAAATATGATTATTAGCTATGGCAGTGGAAGAAGATTTTAATTAGGAAACAAAGCTTAGCAGGAGAGGAGAGCCAGAGAAGTCATAGGGAAGCTACAGGTTACAACAGATTTGTGAACTCAGCCAGCCACAGTGGTTGCAGGGCCTACCTGCTACAGAAAAAGACATATTTTACACAAATACTCACGTATATGGGCAAAAACCTCCAGGACTATATTTGTGACTAATTGTAAAACATTTTATTTTGGTTTCTGTTCTGTGAAAAGTATAACATATTCCAACAATGGGTTTTAATGTAGATTTCTTTTTCGCACCCATGCTGTTGATTGCTAAATGTAATAGTCTGATTGTGACATTGAATAAATGTCTTTTCTTTAAAAACATGTAGTATCTAACATCACATTAATTCAGGATTTTTTAAAGAAAATCCTAAATCTTAAAATAAGAGTTATTTTCTTTAAAATAATCCTAAGTTAATGTGAAGTGAGATACTACTTTTTAAAAAACTTTAATCTCATGTTTGTATATTTTTTTTCTATTATCATCATGATGTCACTGATAACACACAATTTGATCATCTCTACCTTGTGCATAGTGAATAATGACTCAAAGAGATTAAGATGGTGTCTGAATAGTGTTTCTGATTCATCAAGTTTTTGCTTGGCATAAAGACCAAGAAGTCAGCAATCAGTGAAATGTTAAAAAGTCACTCAATCTTATTGTATGTTGAGACTTTTTCTTCATGTGCCATTTCTGTCTCAAAACTTTACCTCTTGAGTATGCTTCAGTTTGCAATGACTTTCAGCTTTTTCTCTGTATGCTGAACTTTTATTCATTTTTTTGTATACAACTCAGTGATATCTTCCCCATGAAAGCAAATGAGATACTCTGATTTTTGAGGCTATGTATAAAGTGACATTGTATCTACAATTTGATTCATTATTCATTTCAAGGGTTTGATATGTTGATAAAGGAAAAAATTTGTTCACTATGATGTAACCAAGGTCATTTAACAGACCGTTAGTAATTCAGTTATGAGAGTTGTGTAGCTGAACATACTATTCCTCAATAAGTTAATTTATTCTGAACTGTATTTCCTTAATAGCTTATCAATAGCTGGGATATTCCATTAATATCTTGAATATGATCATGAAAATAAACATAAAGGGAAAATATAAGTTAAAGCCCATATTAATTTCCTGCTTAATATTACCTTGGATTTTAAAAATTCACAGACTTTCTCATAACAGCATCTTTTAAATAATCGTTAACTGCAAATGTCATTGGATTCTTCAGAATTGCATAG